CTTCGAATTCACAAGTAGGCATATTATATTTATTTATCAGAATGGTATGTAAAAGTTATTTATTATGAAGACAGATTTAAATATAATCAAGTTTATCAGTATAAGGTTGTGGAGATTATTAAGTTTCTAATTGAGATCATGAACCGATTGATGTTAGACCACCATTGAAAACCTTGAAGCACTAGACAGTCATTTCGTCCTATTGTGGGACTGATGGTGCGTACTTTACCCTACAAGTGTCTAGTGGTATTGCAAGCCCATATGGGTTATTTTATCTTCCGGACGGACCGATTAATGTATTTTATTGAGTCACATTTTGACCTTGTCAATTATTCGCATATGACTCTCACTGTTTTTATATAAATGTATGTGTACCGCCTACCCTATTCGTCACATGTTTTCACTTTATTTTTGTCTGGCCATAAATATTGACTCAAACTTTATCAAAATAAAGTTGGCACACTTGCCTCATCCACTTTGCTTCACTATACCGCTTTTTGTTCTGAATGTCTGTTTGGATAATCCAGTGCTCAAAATAAATCAATCCGACTCAACTCATATTTGGCTTCTTATTACCTCCAACGCACAAACGGGGTTAGCCTAAGTGTAATATAGATAGATCGGAGTGGGCCACTAAAAATCAGTGAAAAGCCAATGACCGTTTGTTTTTTCAAATGATAGTCGACTGGATGACCTTAGACTTGTCTTCTTTTATCTTTCGATTAAATTTTGGAAGTAAACGTAATTGATAAGTAAATATCAGTTTTCAGTGATTATTTATCATACGGTGAAGATAAATATTAAAGAGCTTTTTATTATTTTTAAGAACGGATAAATTCTTCGCCATTCTTTGATGCGTCGTATGTTTGAATGCATCTGAACGTGATAAATATAATATCTACATAAACATTTAGAGACAACATGGTGCACGGCGCTATGAAGGAATTTAGAGACAGTAACTGACCAGGTTTTTTTTATCAAAAAGACTGTTACTTATGTGAAAAATTCTTTTTACTCAAAATTATCTTTATTCCTTTGAGTGCGAAGGTCATGAAAAATCAATTATTTCACAGCAAAGATGGATAGTGACTAGCAATAGAATCCAGGACGCGCGTTTTGTCCTATTTGGGACTCCTCATCTGGATGTATCTGCTTATAATGCTTGTAAATTAAGGCAATATTGAGACAATGTACACAGCATGCGCATACGCCAATAAGAGACCGATCAATAGCAATCCTAAACATCAATGGGAAGATTTGAATAGACAATACCAAGTGAATTAAACTAGTTCAAAGGTTTATAAAACAATAACAGTAAATAATTCTTTGATGAATTTGTGCCTAAGGACAGTTAGTTCTTTACTAAACACACAATAGATTTATCCGGAGATAAAACAGAATTTCTAAATTTAATGATTATCGTGTTAATATTGAGCAACTAATTTACAATTTACTTTTCTTTTTTCAGAGGTATAAACTAATTTAACATACCAGCAAGTATATAACATCACATAGTGACATATATGTGAGATAAATACATCTGAGAAAGTTAAATCTAGTTTAACAAAGTGATAATTCAGTGATAAATAAAACTTTCTAATACATAAAAACTATGGTTAATCATTATAAATAAACACTATTCCTCTCATAACAAATAAACAATCTTTTTTTCTTCTGTATATTTAAGTAAATAATTAAGCAATGATTAAATAGAAGTGATTAATTATACAATGATGAACTTGAATTAAAATAAACTTGTCCATTCATGAACAATTGTTTACTGTTGATCAAATCTACCTCTTGATAGAAGCTCTTATTCATATTTTCACTGTGACCTATAATAACAAAAGCAACACTTTACTGTATAATAAGTCTTTTAATCGCCATATATGAGTACATATAAAGTCACGATATATGTGAAGTAATATAATGATTAAGTTTTACTGTGATTATCTTTATTTTAGTTATTGAATTTCTTAATTATTCTAAATAATTAAAATGCCACTTGTTTTTTTTTGTAGTTTTATTCATGAACATAATTAAAAGTGCTGATATGTTTCTTTATATTTTCATTTATTCATGCATTATTTTTAAATGAAAAATGTGTGATAATATCAGTAGTTTAGTGTAGATTGTTTGACAATTGGTTTTATGTTCCAAATACAGTTTGTAATATTCTCTTGAAGAACATAAAGTTTTCATTGTATGTTTACTTATTAATCAATGTTATGTTGTTTAATTCTTAGTTATGGACGATATCTAGTGATTAAGTAGGAATATTGCTACCGAACACTACCCAACACTGTGGTGCAATTTGTTTGATATTGATTTATTTAGCATAATTAACATGAATTTGGTCACACTTATAAATAGATATATCTTTCATTTTTTTCAACATTATTACTGATCTATTCAGGTAGAGAATGATCTAATATAGCGCTTAAATTTTTATAAATGACCTATAACTGCCAAAATAGTCAGCGCGTGTTCAAATCACATCAGTAGCATAAGTTAATCCTAAATTGCAAATTTATTTCATTGATGAACGTTAACAAACACAAAACCTTTGTTCAAGACATCCAAAATAATGCCTTCAAACAAAATTAAAATCATCAGTTTAGGGGTTGTGGCGATTGTTAATTTTTTGATTGAGATCATGAACTGATTGATTTTAGAGCACCATTGAAAACCTGGAAGTACTTGACGTCCGTCTTATCTTAGTATGTGACTCTTCAGCAGTGAGAATCCACGATCCCACTCGTAGAATTCGGACTCAGGACTATCGCTCAATCTCTAGACCACTGAGTCGTCATCCAACAGTGTTATCTAATATCATATATATTTCGTCGCCTTTTTACCATTAAACAATTAATTCTACTGTTGAAGAAAATTATGTTAATAGACCACATCAACCAGAGAATATGTCAACAATTATGTTTGTACACTGTTAAGAAGTGGAAAAACAAAACTCAATAACTTTTTTAGTTCCTTTACAATCTTCAATCATTTTTCTAATTGAGTCAAGTATATAATAAATATGTTCCAATTGAATAGATAAGAATGTATTCACTTAAATTATGTAATAATATATCACTTTAATTTTCATTTGTTTATATTTCTTAATCTGTTATAAATAACTAAGATATATACATAGATACATAAAGTCTTTTTTTATAGTGAATCATTGATAAATTTATTGGTCATCTCATCCAATATATCATTAATTCAATGAGTAAACAAATGACAACAAAAATAAACAAAATAAATGAGATTTCGTTTATTTTATATTCGATTGTTTTCTTTCTTTCTTTCTGTCTCCCATCCTTTTTGTTCTTTTATTGATTAGCCTGTTTTATTCTCCGTTTTATTAAATACTTCTTCTGGCAACAATAATCATTATTATTATTATTATCACTATCATCTAAATCAACACTTAATACAATAAAAGAAATTGTATTGAAAACTAAAACACTTCGCTTATATAAATTTATTAATTAAATAAATATTAATATAAATGAATTACCATTCTGGGTTTCTTTTAAGTTATACAACTAACAATAAACAGTTGCATTTTTTATTATTTACAGTAATAAATAAATAAAGTTTTAGTTGACCTAAATTTCATTATTAATTTCTATAGATTTTTGTTTTATTATTGTTGATTAATTGATTCAATGATCAACAGATATTGGTTGGCAAATTATATGATTTATTGATAAATTAAATGAAATGAAAGGAGTTAAGACAAAAATAAAGAAAAGTTATTTTAAAAGAAGAAGTCTTTGTTTATTTGCAAATTTTGAAGATGTGAATTGTTTATTTTAAGAAATAATTTAGTAAATTGGTTGAATAGCTTCAATTATTCAAATCATTTAACTAAATTAATTTGATTACTTTACTAAATAGTTTTTGACTTCATTATAATTGACATTAGTACTTTGTATAAGGTCAAATTGACTGAAAAATTGGACTAATGATAACAAAGAAAAAAGAAAGATTTTAATTGTATATATTGTTCAAATATATTTATCTTTCAACTGTTTATTTTTTATTTTTAACATAATCTCATGTTGTAAATAGGTTCAACACTTAATTATGACCATTTTTGTTAAGATATATATATATATATAGATCATGTTAAATCTTGGAAGATAACTTGCACACTCCAAGATTTTGTTTTCTATTCTATCATAACGGTTTCGTTTGCACCAAACCTTTATACTGATCAGAACATTTTATTTCAATAGAAATTCATATATCTAGGAATAATGTTGACAAAATTGTGTGGTGATACATTTTCAGCTTTTAATCAACTACAACCACTAAGAGATTAGGAAGCTTGCTGGAAATTTATCCATAGCTCATTATTATCAATACACTATCGATATTTCGTTTGGATTTATAAGTCCATGAAACGAATTATCATCGAAATATAAAAACACTTTTAACTATTCAAATTGATTATAATCAAACTATTAAAATAAATAATTAATACGTTAAAGCATCATCTCCTGCTTTAATGTCATTACAAGACAATGAAGTACAGTATGCTGTTTTCAAAAGTTGTGAATATAGATGGCAAACACTAGTAATACAATAAATTCACATTTGATGAATAGGTCCAAATAGTAGAAACATTTTTACATAAGTATCTATGATGTATATTTGGAAAGTATGATCATTGAAGAACATACCTAGTGAACATTCATACGTGAGACATTTCAAAAACTCTTGTTTACAAGACAATACGTTTTAAAATCAACTTCCCCGTTCCATCTTCATGATGTTTATTTATTGGTCTAAAATGCTCATGCTTAAGTATTTAAGTCAATTAATCTATTACAAAACTGATAAGAATCCATCTAATTAAGTATATAGATGTATGAATAAGAAACAATTTGTCCAGTAAATGGAAATCAATTTTGACGTCATAAATATTCAAAGTATTTTAGAGTTAGGTTTTTTATTTAGTTATTTATACACAATTTACACAAAATACAATGCAGTCGAATGTCATATTGCTTAGTTGCTTGAATTACAAATTTCGTCGGAATTATCCGTCGATTTTCAAGCAGGTGAATGTCATATTGAACATTTATATCTTTGAATGTAATTTAAACAGACATGATTGCTTATTATACATTTTCAGCGCTGGACTGATCATATTCTGAAATGGAATCCAGAAAATTATTCACAAATTCAAGAAGTTCGTGTTCCATACAAGCATATTTGGACACCAGATATTGTATTATATAACTAGTAAGTTAGATTGATTAGTTGATCCTCTTCAAAATCAGTTAATTAAATTCACAATTGGAGTCACAGACTAACGTTGTTTATCTAACTATCGTAACCCAGGAAGCATTGAACACCAGCTTCTATTTACTATAAGACACTTCAGAAGTGTGTATTCACGATCCCACAAAGAATCGAGCGTTTAATCTTTAGAACATATATCCACAGTCCAATAGTGTACGTGTAGAAGTTAGATATGTAGAATCATTGGATGCCGCGTCAGCTATTTGAAGTTTAAATGTTAATTCTTACACATCTACATAACTAACTTTAGATAACTGCTGGATTGTACATCTTCACACAATTTGAGGATTAAAACCTTCATATTTTGTACCACTGCATTCTTATTTTCTTACATTTATCTTAATAATAATCATATTCTGTAAAAGTATAACTTTCACTTTATCTGTAACTACATCATCAGTAATTTCAGATAAGCGGTATAAATGATATATTTTTCGAAAAATAATCGGATACATACAATGATCTAAAAAGTGCATATAAAGCCTTATTATTGAAAGAAGAATATTCAACAAATTTGTGTTTGCTAGAGTATGTTAAATGATCAGTATATAGGTTTTTATAGTGAGTAATGAATTATGAATAATAATAAGTGGTAACTATTCGTTGCATTTGTAAAACAAATATCAAATACTTATGTTTCCGTCAACCGCGTAGTTTTAAAGGTTCACCCGGTTTGAAAACATTTAACGTCACGTCAATTAAATATTCACAAGCGACCAAAAACACTAAATAGCTATAAAATGATAATTTAAGCCTTCTGAAAAGTGAATATGCATGACCAGACAGAACTGAACTTACAATATCCAAACTTTGTTACCACCATCTTATTTCAAACTACAAAGTTCAAATAATATGGTTTATATCTTAAATTTTAGTCGATTCTTTAGATCATACGTAAATGTTTGAATTCAATGATGTCGTCAGTGACATAGATATTATCAAAGATGCTGACTGATTATCAAGTTATCATAAAAATGAGTTAAATTTTGGAAATATGTATAAATGGGTTATCACTAAATATTTTAAAATGAGGATACTCATAAATACCTTCAAAGATCTGGGATCCAACCTTACTGGTTGACGATTTTTTTAGCGAGTTAGTTTTCTACGGGATAGGGTCGCCAATCCCATTCCCAAACCTCCTCCTTTATCCGGGCTTGGGACCGGTAGTAACGCCGAAGTGACTCCAAGCGGAGTTGGGATCCAACCTATGCTATTTAAATATTTTTCGGAGAAACTTACGAGATTTCAAAAAGACTTAAATTTTATTTTAAAAAGGCAATCAGAGTTTAATAACCATTGACTAGGAAAAATTTTACAATTTATATCCAGTTAATGAGTACTTCGGAATAGTAAAAAACTTGCATTTATTTCAAACATCTATCAAGACATAATTTACTTTTCACTGATATGGTTTTTTATTTTATTTCATTATATCCTAGCGCCGATGAACGATTAAAAGAAATGCGTGATGCTATGGTTATCGTACAACACACTGGAGAATTAACCTGGATTCCACCTGCAATTTTTAAATCTTCATGTAAAATAGACATAAAATCGTTTCCATTTGATGAACAAACATGTCATTTGAAATTTGGATCTTGGACATATGATGGAAACAAATTAGATGTTTCTTTTATTAATAATGAAGCACAAGTTTTGTTAAGTGATTATACAGAGAGTAATGAATGGGAAGTAATTGCACGTCCAGCTTTAAGGAATGTAAAATCATATCCTTGTTGTCCAGAATTTTATCCTGATTTAACTTTCTTTCTATTGTAAGTTCATATTCTATTTGATATAGTAACTGTCTATGTTTTAAACCTTGCACAAAATACTACTTGGAAGTCTAATGAGATAAACATAACCCTGCACGGTGAGACTGTAAGCAGTGAATGTGTTGTCAGATGATTAGTCGTTTCAAATGAAATTATTCGTAATGTTATTAGAGTTCTGCAGAACATTGAGCAACCTGACAAATTGTAACTTTTCTAGGTTTATCTTGATTGGTCAGTTTTATTTGTTTAAATTATATACAGCACAAAGGAACAGTATATCGATAAATTTTTCGTAACTCTGGACTTTTAAGCAGCGTATGCGCACGTAACTACCAATGCTGAGATCTAGTTACTTCGGTTTTTGTTATGGGCATAGTTCTTTAAAACGAAGAAATTGCAGCCGAAAAGTCCAATGTAGCTTCAGGTTCTATAATACTCCGAGAAAAATGTTGAGAATTAGTCGTAATTTATTAGATTTGTATAAATGCAAAGAAAAAAAGTTTTAAGCTTGGTTTCTAAACCTGCGTTTCTTGGTTTTATAGCACTTGTATTACAATGACAACTATAATACGAATAGAAAATGTCTGATAGCATATAGTACCTTGTTATCTTTTGTAATGCAACCGAAACCTAAATTTTACCTTTTTAAATTTCATTGTGATATTCATTTCATTCACCTCATTATGATAAGAAACATCTTATTATATTTAACAAGTTTGTTTTTAAAATGTTACCTTAAGCAATTTTTTAATGTTTATTATTAGCAAACATAAATTTCATCAGTTTCATGATCACTACTTGAATGCCTAATCATCATGAAACTGACTACGAGGTTGGATGTAAAAAATAAAATAGTTTCTCATGAGACCTAATTAAAATTTCCTAGAAGTTAGTGATCTATAAAATCGATTTCCCCTATTTCCTCAGAAATTTCTACATTCAAAGTTTGACAGTGAGAGATATAAAACGTGATGAAAAGACAACTGTAGTAGTAGAAGTAGTATAATTAAGTGATTAACAATGTAAAGTGTATAATTCGGTGAATATTATTTCTTCATTATCAGAAAAAAATAATGTAAATGTTAAAAGATACATTACCATTAAAAAAAGTCACGGATCGAATACTAGCAATAACAATTGAAATGTTAGGAGACGAAAGGTACGTAAAATGGGCTGAATCTATTTCAGGGTACTCATCTTATGTAATGTCGTACCTCTATGTAATAAATATATCATACTCACGAACCAAATCACTCACATTTAAAGCACGTATACCTAGCGTGTTTTCCACATAACTGATTCGACCTGAATAGTAAATTTACAATTAAAAAAAATCCATTCATTATTAAATTCTATTTATTGAGTTATCCGTATGAATTTGTTTCAAAAGAGTTGATGTTTCAAAAATATTTTACAGCCTAAGAAGAAATGCTGCATTCTTTTCATACATTTTGGTTCTACCATGTGTGTTACTGGCATCATTGACACTTGTCATTTTCTGGTTACCTCCAGAATCACCTGCAAAGATGGTTCTTGGTAAGCAAGCTCAGTGTAAATTATTTATGGTAAAAATGTTTATTCCCTTATCACATACTTTATCTCACGCAGAGGTGGACAAGCCACAAATAAACAGTCAGAATAAGGCCAGTGAGATCTTTCGGAGTTATATGCGAAACCCGGCAGAAATGAGATATTTCGAAAAGTTAAATTTTATCTAAAAACTATAGAAAATCAAGTTCGAAATCTAAAATAGCTTATTGTTCAAGCGACTTAAAAAAACTCAGCTACGCTCCTTTTCTTATATTTTTTGTACAATAAGAACCTGCTAAGAAATAAAGCCTAAATTGCAACCCTAAAGCATGAATTTTTGCGATTTGTTAGAGATTTCAAGGTGTTCAGACCAAAGTTCAGTGTGCTAATAATTTTTATTCTTTTTGACGCAGTGATATGTAGACGGGTGATAGCACCTCATCAAAAACGGTATTGTTTACTTAAGCCCCCAATTGGTTTGTGATCAAAGATAATATTACTCGTTAGATATATGAATTTTTATGTTACTGAATGGTGTGCTTATGTATAAAATAGCAACGCGTCACAAGCAATATTTTATGACATTGCTGACGATTAAGGAAACAACACTATATAGACTACTACAATCAATTACCACTCAACTGTTAAACGAAATTGTTGGTCATCATATTAGAATAATATTTATCATTCACAAGCTAAAATATTTCACACACAAAAAATTCAGTTTTTTGGCTCAACTTACATTTGTGAATAAGCAGTTTTATTTACGAACTTCAATACACACATGTTTAGATATCGGCTACTAGATGAAAATTTAGTGTCAGATCTTTGCATTGCTAAAAACAAAATGACTACTGTTCGGAATCTACATTTGAAACTCTATACACAGTTGCATTCATCTCATTGATACAGCTTCATTGTTAATACTAATGCTTTTAACAGCAAATGTTTGTTTCAACAATAATTGATGCATATCATTATCTCAATTGAAAGTTCTTGTTAGTTCGTATGTAAGGCTCTCAATGTAGTAACTAGATTCATCCTTCAATGAAATAGCTTGCCTACTTTCGATCTAGCTTTCACTTACTACGTAGTAAAGATTCTACATCTTTGTTTACATCTGTTCATTTTTGAATATTTTATATTATTGGTTAAAGCAAACTATTACTGATGATAGTTAATATATGGGCTTGTTCAAGATTAGAAATTCAGCGTTCAGAAATCTTTATTCTCAGTATAATATGTATTTACCTACCTAAGTTCATTTATTTTTCTTATCATCACATATGACGCTATAAATCAGATTTTCAACGCGTTCCGTGAAAATTGTAACCAATTATAATTTTTTTAATTTGAAAAAAACTTTTGAATAATATCGCCTTTGTTGTATTTGCTGGAATACTCAAGGAATGAACATATTTGTGGCCTTCTTTTTATTGTTGTTATTACTGGCTGATTCTACACCACAAGCCTCAAACAGTGTTCCTTATATTGGTAAGTTGCATATTTTTCTAATAAATCTTTATATTAATAAAACTTTTGTGAGGAAATAGTACTTTTCAGATGATACATTCTCTGTAGAACGAACACTTAGCTAATAATAATGATACAAAGTAAAAATCATCCGTCTACATCTAAAGGTTTTGATAGAAAAACACTGTATTACACTTTGATATGTTAAAGATATTACTTATCATTCTGTTAGTTGATACTTAATATCGACATCCATTGTTTAAGTTTGATAGTTTAAGCTGACTGGTAGTAAACTCTTATTGTTTCTCAATGTTCCACTGAAAATAAACGAAACTGAAATTTGATGTTATTCTTAACAATTCTCTTAATCGATTACCACCAATATTAATCGATTTGATTGTATTCTATCCCGTGATTTTAACAGCTATGAATAGACAAACAAAATGAGTAGCAGCACTATGGGTTATGAAAAGCTTCTTCTTAACGATCCGCAAGTTAAAACTGTTCAGTTAACATTAAATATACTTTCTTTTGATGGATAATTTGTTCATGGAACTAATAAATTGAGGAATACTACTAGTTTTCGCCACATTTATATTCAACTTCATTTTTCATGATTGAATAATTTCAAAGTTATTCTCAGTGGTTTGTTCTATGGCTTTATAATACTTCATTCATTGTGTTTAACAATATATATGAGGCTTCATAACTTCAACCCCTTAAAATCTGCGTAAATCAAATAATTTTGAGTAATCATCTATCATTTTTGTTTTTTACAGGTTATTACTACTGTTTGAACATGATTCTGATCACATTATCTTCTTTTCTCTCTGTATTTGTGATTAATCTGTACTTTCGTGGTGATAAACGAAATAGAGTGCCACAGTGCTTGAGAAGGGTAAGTCATATTGTCTTTAGTAAAATAACTGATTGGTTGCTTAGTAATGTGAAATGGGCATAATTTATATGACTAATGTAGTAGTTATGGTAATTTGAAAGGGCTTTTCATGATTATATAATTCAACGAAGAAGGATTTTAATGAAGGAAACATAATTCTTTTAATGTATATAATGAAAATTGATAGAGAAAATTTTATTTTGCTAAGATTAGCTTACATTTAATTAATATTTGAAATTAGTATCTGAAAGCTCAACATAACTTGTTATCAGATAAATGAATTTGTTGTTAAGCATTCTTATGCCAAGTCAACAATCATTTTTCAGTTGACCAAGCATTTAGTGGTAATGTCAGTTAAGCATAAAAAACAAATTCGTTCTGTATGCTTGATAGGTTTGAAAATGTTGGATTTCATTTTGCAGTTACATTGAACAATCATTGTATGTGTACAATAAAATGAGAGAGATATATTATTTACTACAGTAATCAAATAAATACAGAAAAATGAAGAATTATGAATATTTTTTAATAAAACATTTTACTTTAGTGAACTGATCGATTTTGGGAAGGGGATGTTGTTTTTATACATTTTCTAGTTATGTCACATACTGAATGGTGTTTGTGATGGTAAATGCAGCTGTAAAGAAGGTGATCATAATACACCTATGGATGTTGTTGTTAGTAATTCAAATTCTACAACAGTCAATCAAAATAAAAACGATTATTCATCACAAATGGTACAAATGAAGTCAGCATTAGTTAATTCAAATAATGAACAACAAGATATAACAAGTTATACTGGATCTGTTATCGGAATGAAGCGTTCTAAAAAGGGTAAAGCACGTTTTGCTATGGTACAAGAGAATAATGGATTAAAAAGTTTAATTGTAGATAATTATGATTATGATACTGATACTACTGAACATAAACGATATCGACCAAATCAGCGTCATTGTGAAACACAAACTGAAGCGGATAACTTTAATAAAGAATTAAATTCACAACAGCTTATAGGATCATGTCAATGTCATTCAAAATTATCAAAAATACGAAGTCGTTCATTAACTCCATCAAAATTTAATGATTGTGATATATTAGGTAATTCTCAACAACCTTGTACATGTTGTCAATATTATTATCGATCATATGCACCAGCAACTCAGTGTACTGTTTGTACTCCATTACCAGTTATAAATACTTCCACAAATTCAAGAATATTAAATCCAAAAATACAAAGTTCAAAACATGGAAAACATCCTGAAAATTGTAATGTTTGTAAACAACATCTTAATGCATTAATGTTTAAAACACATCCTAATGATTATTTTTCTATAAATCGTCATTCAATGACTAATTCATCTATACCATTTGATAGTAATTCACTATGTTCACATATTAGATATGAATATCGTAATGGTAGACCTGCACTTATATCACCACATGGACGTAATTATTTAAATGCTAATGAATTAACTAGTAATCATACAAATTTACAATTAAAATCATCTACATTAGTTAAAACTACATCATATTTATCTAATAATAATAATAATCCATTAATTACTAATTCAACTATAACAAATATGAATTCAGATAAAACAACAATACAACATATACAATTATCATCAACATTATTAATATTAATGAAAAATATAGAAAATGAAGTAAATGATATACGTTCAATTGTGAAATTATTTTTATCAAGAATCGATAAAAAAGATACAGAAAATATTATTATTAAAGAATGGCGTATGATAGCTATTGTTATGGATAGAATATTTTTTATATGTTATTTAATTATACATTTATGTGCAGCATTTGGTTTATTAATACCACGTTCATCTGAATATAATGTTGTAGAATTTTTACGAGAATATCGATTAAAAAATTATAATTCAACATTTTTTGAAAATGAAACAATTACAATAAATAATTATCAAATGAAAACAACTGAATTACCTAATAATAATAATCAATTTATTGATACAATAGAAATCAATAAACAATTAAATAACTTAGATACTAAAAAATCAATAAATTTAGATATAATAAATAATGAAAAAACTACTTTAATGAATGAAAATAAACATAAATATGATATTACAAATTCATTAGATAATATAAATAATTATTTATCACCTTATCAACGATTAGTTGATCAACAATCAAATATATTGAAACAATATACAGAAGAAAATATTATTGATAATGATCTCATTTTAAGTAAATCAAATCAATTAAAAAAAAGAAATAATGATCATGAATTCAAAAATTCTAATTGAAAATATTAATTGTATGTTTGATTATGAAATAAAGTTGGTTTGTTTTCTTCTTTTTTTAAAAAAAAAAGAAAAGAAAAGAAAAAGTATGCATGTTTACTCAGGAAATTAATGAAGAAACAAAAAAAAATATAAAAAGAAATTGTACTCACAAAAATTAATTCCTCATTACAAAAATTCTTATTTCAAATGAAATAAAGGTTTATTTGTTTGTTTTTTTTTCTTTTGAAATTGTATCTTTGTATACATTTAAACAATAAATGATCTACTTTCAATATCATTGTATTATTGCCAATATTCAACTGCTCATATCTAACCATAAATACATTTTATTCTATATGAAATATTTACAAAATTACAATTTATATTACCATTTATTTATAATTATATATACACTGAATAAAAATTGTTTATTTTTAGAATAATTTACAGTAAATAAGGTTGTGAACAAGAAAATATTCAATTTATTACACCTTTTATATCATAAATAGAATTTATTGAAAAGAAAAAAAAAAGAAAAAGAAAGGAAATGTTTCGTGAAATATTTTCTTCTGGAATTGTCCCTATTCTATTATTCTTATGCTTAGTTATTGATTTATTTATTTACTTTTTAGTGAAATATAATTTGGTTATGAAAAACAAAGTTTTTGTTTTTGGTGAATCATAACATGTGGTTGTGCTCTTTTGTTTCTTTTTATTTATCATTTTTTTTGTTTCAGTAATATTGAATATTGAAATTTTCATTCTTTAGAAGGAGTTTATTAAATAATTCTTCTTAGTTTTGTCATTCGTTTTTATACTGTTTCTATATATATTACTTCGTGTAACCTGTTATGTAATATTTAACACATATCGGTAAACATCTAAATGAATTTACTAAAATATCATGATACAACTGATACATTTACAAAACATATTCACAATGCTTAACTTATTGAAAAAACAAATGAAAATTCACAATAATATTATGACTTTCTTATTCTGGTTGTTTTCATGTATAATGTCTTTATTGTAGACAAAGTTGATATAGATATGTTTGATACTATTACAACTACTGATATAGATTATTTCAGTAGTATGTTATTCTGAGAAGAAAATGGATGTAATGATGATATTTTCAACAATCTTTAATGAAAAAAGATTAACTATGAATTGACATATTAATCAAACTATTTAAAAAAGTGTAATTATTCTTTATAACATTTATTGTGTTTTGGTGGTTTTTTTTTCAATTATTTATTTTTAATGATAGGAATTCAGTTTGCAGTGACATAAATAGAGAAACACGGTAAAAAAAGAAAGATTACTAATTCTTGTCAAACCAGAACTGAATGTACTTTTTAGACAACATAGAAAATTCTTCAAAAGGAAATTAATAATCAAGTGATGTTTTGATTTATCTTTGATTAGAAATTTGTTTGTATAGAGTTAGTATAAAGTTATTTCATTCGAGTATGAAATATTTCAGTAATGTGTATCAACGACGAAGGTGCAAAGATGAAAATTAAGACCTTAGGGTTTTCAATGAATGAATAACATTGAGCTTAAATTCCATATTTTACCGTTTTGAAATAAGGCATGAAAGGTACTTTGTACTAATGGTGGATAACTACTTTCCTTCCACCATGATTGAACTTCACCTGTCATATTAAGAAAAAAGCCATTTATTATTCATCAGTTGATGTGAACTTCCACAAATCCCACAATCAATAAAGAAAGACAGACTGTAGATGGTTTGCTTTTAAACCATAATTTCACTGATGGTCACGCACAACACACAATAAAACGTGATAATATGATGTATGATGTCAAAATATACTTCTGTTGGACTTGTAACTCAGTCGCTTATTTTCATAAAAACAATCAGAGAAATAACTCGACCAAATGATGATTTTTTTTCGAAATCATAAATACTTCCTTACGTCTGTTACGCTTCGTGGAGCTTAGGGTGACGTCTAGGATTCTCGAACCAATTATATCCTGAGCTCTCATTTCCAGTAGTTTCTAATCGCTATTCATTTTGTTGGCCTCTGTCTGCGATTCTGGACGCAATGCGTTCTTGTGTCTTTCTCTCTATTTTTTACCTTAAAGATTTCAAGTTAGCCCTTGCCTCGTGATGCAATTTGAGGATTTCGGCAATGTATGTCTTATCCAGCTCAAACGTCTTTTGCGAAGTTCCTCTTCACTTAGAAACGAGGATGTTCTCGGTCATAAAACGTTTATGTATACGTTCAACGGACAATGAGTATTCTGCGTAAACAACCATTTATAAACACTTGTACCATTTTGATGATGGTTATAACGATTCTTTAATATTCAGCTCTTGATATATATTTTGAAAATTCTGACATTGATGTTGGCTGACGATTGTTTTAAGTTCCATATGTTCTTAAACTGTTGGAATGCTGTCATTACTTTCCCTCACTTGCATTCACAACTGCATCGAATCTTCTGTGTCTATCGATAGTGCTGCTAAGATATGTGAAAGCTCACACTGCTTCCAGAGTTTCTATGTCAATTGTGATTGGTTTGGTGTTGTCCGTTCTGCTTTTGAGGATCTTGCATTTATCCTTGTGTAGGTCGAGGCTATAAAGTCGAATACGTTTCCATAAGGTCATACAATCCACACTGTCACACGTCTTTTCATAATCAAGGAAGTTGATGTACAGTGACGAGTTACATCCATTTGATTATTCAAAAATGATCCGAGGTGTCACGATTTGATTTGTGAACGACTGGTCCCCACGACATCCAGTCTCTTGATCTCGAAGCTGAGTGTCTACGAAACCTTTCATCCAATTCAGCAACACTCCATTGAAAACGTTTCCTGGTAGTCATTATATGTGAAAATTATATTTGAAATATTCTCAACGATTGAAATTTAACTAATTCCAACGTTTAGTTCAGCTAACTTGTCTGGACTTCTTCGGGGTAATAATCAAAATCAAAATTATCAAAGAAATATATAGCTTTTTAACAATTAGGAGTATACTGTTTTAAACCAATCATATTTGGATGTTGATTTTTTGTAAGACAGGATAAAATGAGTCAGTTAACTAGAAATCATGTGAAGAAATCAACTACATGGAAATACTTAACTGAGTAACAAATCGTATGTGTGTGAGTGTGTAGGTTTGTATGTTTATGTTTCCTGGTAGTGTTATAAATCTGTAGTTGGTTCTCACACTTGATCAGATCTCCTTTCTTTCATATATTCATGAGATATTCTTCTTTTCAGTCCATCAATGGCAATTGTTCTCCGTATCAAGTCTCTCTTAATAGAATGTGGAGAGTGTTTGCAGTTACTTCTGTGTCTGACTTTCGTGTTTCAGCTGGTATATTGTTAGGTCCTACTGCCTTCACACTCTTGACAAATCTGATGACCGACCATCCTCATTTCGTCGATTGTTAATGGAATGATATTGATAGTAGTGTTTGTGTATGCTGCTTCGATGTCCAATGTATTCGATAGATCTGGTCTATTCAAGATTTTCTAGAAGTGTTCAACCCATCTGTTTCTCTGTTCTTCAATCTCAGTGATTGACTTACCTTCTTTGTTTTTGACTGATCTCTCTAGTTCACTAAATTTGCCTGCCATTTTATTCGTCGTTTTGTCGAATAGCCTTTTCATATTTCCTTATGTTGCAGCTTTTCCACTGTCGTTGTCGGTTATCACACGTACTTTTGCTTGTCAGCCTAACGCTTCACTCCACTCACTTGCTTTTTTCTGTGTGTTCAGATTGTGCCATCACTTTCTCTGTTCTTGTTCGACTCTTATTAATTGCTATCCACTTGTTCTTCCTTTTTTGAACCCTGTCCATCGTTTCGATAGAACTCCACTCCTTATGATGATGCTTCTTTAGGCCTCATAACCTCCTGACACGTTTAAGTTAGTGCCTCTTTCATCCCTTTCCAATTGTCCTCCATAGTGGTTCTTTAGTCTTTCAGGTGATCTTGTAAGGCTCAGAACTTGTTGTCGAGAGCTAACTTAGATTTGTTGAGTTTATCAGTATGTCGAAGGAAGGCTGTATTGAATCGTTGAAATGCTGTTTCTCCAGTTGTCCAGCGCTCCTTTAATTTCAGTTATTCTCGACAACCACCAACTAGTCGTGATTCGAAGCCATTTCACTTCCTCTCCAACTCCTCACGTCCTTCATCGACCTGGATTTTTCAGTAATGTAAATATGAACGATCTGGTTCTGTGAAGTATGATCCAGTGAGACACATATAGCATTGTGAATGCGTTTGTTGAGGAATATTGTGCCGCCCCTAACCACTTTGTTGATTGCACATAAATTTACATATCTGTCACCATTCTCATTCCTTTCTCCCAGCAAGTCAGTGTCGTTCCAAAATATCTACATACTCAGCGTTCTCCACTCTGACTTTGGCGTTCAGGTCTACCATCAGGATGGTCAAGTCGTTTCCTGTGCACTTCTCTATGATCGGTTGCAACTTTTCATAAAATTGTTCTTTATGCTATGTCTAACCTATCATTCATGAACGAAGTGTGTAATTTATGTAAGAACTAACTTTCAGAAAATAAATGTTTATAATACTAATGAGGATAAAATGTTATTTCAGACGGAACAGAAAATCAAAAAAATATGCATCAATACACTTCATGAAAACAGCATTGTTCATCATTAGTTTACATAGTTTAACTTTTCAGAAATTACATTATTTGTCGAGTAACCAATTTTCGTCATTCAATTCTAAAACATATTTTATTATAAATTTTTTAAAAAAGAATAGAGAGAATTTAGGATGCAAATTAATTTGCTAAATAATCAGTATGTGTTTTAACAATCTTTGTAGGCTAATTTCCACCATGGATGAGTGGTAGAGCAATATCATGGATTGATTGAATTTACGCATATACACTGTTGGATGCCTGCTCACTGATCGAGAAGTTCAGCGTTCGCACGCTAGACTGAAGGTTTTGGGCTTTTAGTCCCTCGTGCGGGACTGTGGATGCGCACCTTTAAGGAGCCCCATACTGA